TGCTTTGTGGCTACATCCTATAATTTTCATATGTTATGTTTTCATTATCATTTGAATCAAGATATTTCTTGATATTTTCTTTGACATATTGGTTATTCTGAAGTTTTGGAGTACATGTGTTTGGAGTATGGAGTATTCTGAAGTTCTGTGTGTGTGTGTGTGTGTGTGTGTGTGTGTGTGTGTGTGTATGCACACATGTGCATTTGTGGTTTGAGACAGTGTACCACAGCATAGTTCAGGCTGGCCTTGAGTTCATGATGTAGCCCAGGCTGGTCTTGAACTCACAGTGATCCTTCTGCCTCAGTCTCCCAAGTGCTGGGATTACAGGTATGCATGATCATGCCTGGCAGGAATGTGTTTTTTAATTTACTCATATTTGTGTATTTTAAAAGCCTTATCATTGATTTCTAGTTTCATATATTGTGGTTGGAAATGATACTTGAGATGATTTCAGCTTTCTTTCATTTTTAAAACTTGGCTTATTGCTCAATATATGATCTAGCCTGGAAAATGTTCATATGCACTTGAAAAAATATGTATTCTCCTTTTGTTGAATAGAAAGTTCTGTGTGCATCTGTTAGATTAGTCTGGTCTATATTATTATTAAAGTTTACCATTTTCTTTTTGAGTTTCTGGTTTTATTTGTATTACTAGCTTATCTTAGTTCCCTGAAAATAAAGATTTGCATTATCTGTTTCTTTCTTTCTTAGTTTTTAATTTTAAAGAGAATATTAAGAAAGAACAATAGCAAAATACCAACATCATAGACAAAAATAAAACAAAGCAAAGACAATAAAAAGGATACAGGGTTTCAGAACAAAATGATAGGAATTAACAATGGCTATTATATTACTTATTGTTACCTACAATGAAGTTGCTCAGATTACCAGATGTAAGAGTGCAAGGTTGATCAAACCATTAAAGAGAATAAAAAATAAAAATAAAATGGAAATGATATAGAGTTTTACTAGACAAGACGGTAGGGATTCATCAATGGTTGTTATATTGCTTATTGTTGTCTTCAAGTTAGTTGTTCAGATTACCAGATATAAGTGTGTAAAATTGATCAAATAGAAAAAAAATAGGCATTAACTGTTCATTTCAATAAACCATTAGACTTCAGCAGTACAATTACCCCAGCTATCCTTCTATATACATATATTTTTTCTCTTCCTTCTTCCTTTCTTTCTTTTTCTCCTTTCCCTCATCCCAGTTGTTCCTTCTTTCAAGCAATTTCCTTCCCTTTCATAGTATCTATTGATGTTTTGGATTTTATTTACTCTTTCAGATTGTTTCTTTCTTGTAAGAAAGAATCTTTTTGTACTCTGAGTAACTACTTTGAAGATAGTGATAAACAGTGTAGGAACTATTGTTATTCTCATTGTTTGATTATGAAATTTTGTTTTATTTTTTCATAAAATAAAAAGAAAAAGTGGGCTACTGAAGTTTCTCTTATTGTGTTGTTATCTATATCTCCCTTCAATTGTTAGTATTAACTTTATATATTTAGGTACTTCCATGTAGAATGCATGTAGTTTTCGAATTCTTTTTTTTTTTTTTTTTTTTTTTGGTAAATTGCCCTTCTTATCATTTGTGACCTTAGTAGCTTGTGAGAGATTTTGATTGAAAACATCTATTTTATCTGATATAAATATAACCACTTGTATTCTTCTTTAATTACCATTTACATGGAATTTGTTTTCTTTTCTTCTATTTTTCCCCCAGTACTAAATGTTGAGCTCAGGGGAATTTTACCCCTGAGCTACATCTCCATCCTTTTTTATTTATTTTTTATTATGAAACAGTGTCTCACTAAGTTGCCTAGGCTGTGCTTCTTTCAAATAAGCGGGACTACAAGTTTATTCCATTGTGCCCAGCTTGAATATCTTTCATAATACCTTCTGTCTCAGCCTATCTGTGCCCTTGATGCTAAAGTGAGTCTTTTGCAGACAACATACAGTTAGCTTTTTAAAAATTCCATTGAACCAACCTTCATTTTCTTTTAATTGGAGAAGTTAGTCAACTTATGTTTGTAGCAGTCATTAAATATAAGGACTTATTTCCATTTTGTTGATTGTTTTCTGGTTATTTTGTACATCCTTCATTTCTTCATCTTTTGCTGCCTTCCTTTGTGACTTGTTGGCTTTTGTAATAGCATATTCTGCTTGCATTTGATATCTTGTTTATCTATTGATTTATTTCTTTGTTGTTACCATGAAATATGCATAAAACATCTTATAATTACAATTTTATACTTTCATTTTTGTTTTTCTTTTGTGGGGGGACAAGGTCTTGCTACATAGTTCAGGCTAACCTTGAACTCATTATGTAGCCCAGCTAGCCTTGAACTTGCAGTGATGCACCTGCCTAGCCTTCTTGAGTGCTGGCATTAACAAGCATGTGTTAACATACCTGGCTACAACTTTCCTCTTTCATATGATAAGAACTGAACTTAAATCACATAAAAACTCTATTCTTATATCTCTCTGTCTTAATTTTATGTTATTGATCCAACACTACATATTTTATACTGTGCATTCATTAACAAATTGTTGTAATTATAGTTATTTTAATAGTTTTTAAAATTTCACTGATGCCTGAATTAAAATAATTTATACACCACAATTACAATATCTGAGCATTCAGAATTTGATTATACATTTACCTTTACCAGTGAATGCATACTTTCACTTTTTTGTTGTTGTTTTTACCCAGAGTCCTTTCATTTCAACCTGAAGAATTCTGTTTAGAATTTCTTAAAAGGCTATTTTTATTTGTCTGGAAATGTCTTCATCTGGTTTTCATTTCTGAAGGACAGCATTGCTTGGTATTATATTTTTGCTTGGCAAGATTTTGGCAAGAATTTTTTCTCAGCATTCTGAATTGTCTGAATTGTCTTCCTGGCTTACAAGCTTTCTGCTGAGAAGTTCACTGTGAGCCTTATCTAGGATCCCTTGTATGTGATGAGTCATTTTTTTCTTGTTACTTTCAAAGTTATTGCTTTGTCTTAGACTTTTGAAAACCTGATTGTAGTGTTATGGACAATTGTTCTTTGGACTTACCTTTCTTCAATCTTTTTAAATCTTGATATCCATATTCTTCCTAAGATTTGGGAAATTTTCTGCTTGTAATTCTTTACTTTTTTGGCACTCTTTCTCTCTCTTCTTTTGGCTGTTCCATGATTCATATGTTTTTATGTTTGACGTTACCCCATAGCTCTTACCTATTCTTTGTTCTTCTTTCCTTTTGGCTTATTAGGATAGTTTTAAATGGTATATGTTTAAACTTTTTTATTTTGCATGATTGAGTTTGCTGTTGAAGTTCTTCATTGATTTCAACATTGAAGTTTTAAGTTCTATCATTATAATCTTCAGTTCCAGGTTTTTGTTTTGTTCTTTCTCATGGTTTCTATGTCTTTATTAAACCTATTCAATTTATTCATGCATTATTTCCCTAATGTCTCTATTTTCCTGCAACTCATTGAGTTTTTTTATTATTATTTTAAAGAGAAAAGAACAAAAACAAAATAAGAAAAAGGTAAAAAACAAAACATAAAAGCTACACAAACAATACAGAATTTCAAAACAAGATGATAGGAAATCAACAATGGTTGTTTTATTACTTATTGTTATCTTCAACGTAGTTGCTCAGATTACCAGATATAGGAATGCAAGATTGATCAAACAATTAAAAATTAATTGTTCCTTTCAATAAACCAATAGAAATTAGTAGTACAGTTATCTTAGCTATCGTGTGTGTGTGTATGTGTTTGTATTTCCTTTCCTTCTTTTTCTCCTTTCCCTTGCCCTAGTTGTTCTTTCCTGTTGAGAGCAGTTTATTCCCTTTTCACAGTATCTATTGGACCTTTCAGTTTTATTTACCCTTTCAGGTTCTTACACTAGGGAGACAATATGGTGTTTACACATATGGGTCTGATTTATTTCACTTATGAGTATGGTCTCTAGTTGCATCCATTTACCTATAAGAGCCTTGAGTTTATCTTTCTTTATAGCTGAGTAATAGTCCATTGTATTAAAATACAACATTGTTCTTATCCACTCCTCAGTTGATGGGCATTTGTGTTGTTTCCAGGATTTTGCTATGACAAATTGTGCTGTTATAAACACAGGTGCACATATAATGCTGTGGTATGATGTTTTCAATTCTTCTGGGAAAATACCCAGAAGGGGAATGGCTAGGTTAAGTGGGATCTCTAATTCTAACTTTTTTAGGAATCTCCAGACTGATTTCCAAAGTGGTTGTACCAGTCTACATTGCCACCAACAGAGGAAAAGTGTTCTTTTTCCCCCACAGCCCTTCCACCATTTGTTGTTGGTTGATTACTTGATGGTAACCATGCTTAGTGGGATGAGATGAAATCTCAGTGTTGTTTTAATTTGCATCTCTTGAAATGACCTCATTGAGTTTATGATGATTATTTTGTATTATTTTTCAGATAATTCATTAATCTCCATTTCTTTGGAGCTGATTACTAGAGCTTTATTAATTTCTTTTGATGGTATGCTATGTTTTCCTGATTCATTGTCTGTGTAGCTTACATTTGTGCCTGTGCATTTGAAGGAGCAAACACATCTTCCAATCTTTATAGAGGGATGTGCTGCATCAGGTAAAGACCTTCTCCTGTTAGTCCCGAGGCACTTCAATAACAGAAGCTAGGGCTCAGGATGTACCTCAGTGGTGAACTGCTTGCCTAGTATGTGTGAAGCTCTAGGTGCAATCTCCAGCACCACAAAACAAAAACAAAAATAGTTAACGTTCTGCCAAGTGAGGAGCTCTGTTCTATATGTCTATGGTATACTGCTAGACTTCACCTATTTCACACAGGGATGGTGTCTGGTGGGAGTTATTGGGCTTGGCCTAGTTGTTCTCTAGCATATTTTAGTTCTGGTGACTGAATACTTTTACATAAAATGTAAGCAAAATGTTTGCTCATATATGAAAAGAGAAATAGACATGGAAGGAAAAAAGAGACTCACAAATTGTTGGTAGATAAATTTTTTATCTCCAAAAATCATAAATACAAAACAGTGACAAAGATTTTCACATTCTGTGCATTTCTTGGTCACCTTGCAGCAGTAGAAGGAATTACTCTTCACTTATGATTTTCGTGTGAACCTCCCGGCTCTTCACACGGAGTTTGTTGACCTGGGACTCAGCAATGTCAGCCCGTTCCTCGGCTTCCTCCAGCTCGTGCTGAATCTTGCGGAATTTGGAGAGGTTGACATTGGATTGTTCCTCCTGCGAATAGGAATGCATTGGTAAAGAAAGAATGTTCAAATTCCTAGATTCTTAGGTCAGTAGGTCTTGAATTTTTTCTGTTTTTACTTAAAACTGATTCATTCTATTAAATGTTTAAAAAAGAAAACTAAAGGAAAGTTTTGAATTTTTATGTTGTATTAATTTCCTTGTTTGTGTCTTTTTTTTTTTTTTTTTTTTTTTTTGTAGTACTGGATATTGTGCCCAGGGCTTTTACACTGACCTACATCACTCCCTCTTTTTATTTTGATACAAGGTCTTGCCAAGTTGCCCAGGTAGAAATCAAACTTCCTGTCTCACCTTCCCTTAATGGTACAATTATAGCTGTGTTGCATCATACCCAGCTCCACCCATGCTTCTTAAATGCACAGATAATAGGAAAGACAGGTAACATCTGTATCTGAACTTTCAGAAAAGCTAAGCATTTCAGAGCTACTATTAAATATGACAGGATTCCAGCCTTGCTTTTTTTCAGGCTCCTGAGACTGGAATTAGATCTTTTAAAAATGCAGGTAGGCAATGTTTATTATACCAAACTACTAGCTTTGAATCTAAATTATTGCCACTTGAACCTAAATTATTGCCACTTAATGAAGTTTAGAAATTTAGCAAATTTGTTTCCCAAAATAGGTTGAGTGGTCTGTGATTATACTTGAATATAGAGCTGTGAATTTCAGAAGAGTTTAGTCTTTAGTAATCATTCTTTTAAAAAAAATCTTGTGAAGAACCCTCCCAAAATGTGGCATTCAAATTAGAACATGGATAAAGCTTAGAATCACTAAATAGTATAGCTTGGTTAAAAAAAAACAAAGCCTCAGATCTCCTTCTTATAGATGAGGAAAGTGGGAGCTATAGAAAGGTTTAGTGGCTTGTCCATTTGTTGCTGTGAGTGTGCACACATGTGTATTTGTCTGTTCTCTCTTGCTTCTTGCCCCCACCCTGGGTCTTACTCTCAGACATTAGAGGTCAGGGGAAAAAGAATTATCAATGAATAGAGGCACTCCTGCTCCCTAGAATATGTTTTGTTTTGTTTTTCTCTATACTTTGGAAACTGATATTATTTCATGATTTCAGATCAATCACAGGATGGGAAAATGAAATAAAGTGGAGTACCAAAAATCTATTGGTTTGATCATAACAGAACTCCAGAGCTCCATACTCTTATATGCAGCTATTTACATGACATTTTTCATTTTGGTATATAATGACATTTCACATTTAATGTGTCTAAAACAATTCCTATTTCCTTCTTGCCCTGTAGATGTTATTTTCACCTAGTTCCACATTTTAGTAATTGTTACATCCTTTATCTAGTTACTCACATTATAAACTTAGGACTTCCCTTGATTTCCTTATTTTCACTGCTTGGGCATATCCCCTAGTTTCCACCTCCAAAACATAGTTGGAATATCTCCACTTCTGTCTCCCTGATCCATTACTACCGTAATCCAAACCACAGAACCACCTGGAAAGTTTCTTAGCACTCCTCCCTGCACCTACCAGTGTTACCCAATAGTCTGTTCTTCATGTAGTAGCCAGAATGTTCTTTGGAAAATATAAACCAGGTCATATCCAAGCCCGATGGAAACTCTCTCATTGCAAAACTCCCCCATTGTACTTAGAAAAAAATCCAGATTTTGTCCATGTCTTAGAAGACCCTGTTATCTCCTTACTGCCTAGCTTTCTAGCTTTCTCCCGTCTTCTTCATCTTTTCTACCTTTTGGACCACACTGTTTTACACTCCAAAACTTTGCATTTGTTTGCCTCCTTCCTAGAATATTGTGTTTTGTTCTGCTTTTCTCTCCTTGTTTTACTCAACACTTCTTTTATCCTTTTATGGCATGGCCATGTCAGAGAAGTGGACACTGCCCAGTCATGCCAAGGGGTTCTGGACTCACCGCTTCCTCTGCTTGTCTCTTGTACGCCTTCACCTTTGCTTGTAGTTTGTCCACAAGGTCCTGGAGTCTAAGAATGTTCTTGCGGTCTTCCTCAGTCTGAAACAATGTTTTACAGAGTGAGTTTTGTGAAAATACAAGTATCATCACATTTTGTCATGGCTTTTAATCCCCTGAGGGCTGAGTAAGAACTTGGGGAATGGGGCTGGGGATGTAGCTCAGTGGCATAAGCGCTTGCCTGGCAAGCTTGAGGTCATGAGTTTGATTCTTGGTACAAAAAAAACAAAGGAACTTGGGGAAATCCTTTTTCTTACCTGGTAAGTGAGTTCCTTCACTCTTCTCTCATGTTTCCGCAGGCCCTTGACAGCTTCAACATTGCGCTTCTGTTCGCTTTCAACTTCTCCTTCAAGTTCACGTACCTGTAAAAACGGTGGGACTACTGTCATTCATTCACTCAATGAATAATGCACAGACTTATTTTATCATCTTCATATGTCTAATTGCCCTGTTATAAGCTCTCAGGCAGCAGGGAATATGTCTTCTTCATCTTGGGATACCCCATTTCATCCATGAGGTACTTAAGGTTATATGTTGGATTCAGATCAGAAAGGGATAAATGTTGATTGGAAGACCCACCCTGGCCTCCAGCTTCTGGATCTGCTTCTTGCCGCCCTTCAGTGCCAGCTGCTCGGCCTCATCCAGACGGTGCTGCAGGTCCTTCACCGTCTGCTCCAGGTTCTTCTTCATCCGCTCCAGGTGGGCGCTGGTGTCCTGCTCCTTCTTCAGCTCCTCGGCCATCATGGCGGCCTGGTTAGCAGAAAACACAGTCAGGTAGGAGCCGTGAGAGCACATCAGGGCTCAGGTTTGCCTACCGCTGCATTCCTGTCTGCTTACATCAGTGATGGCTTTCTTGGCCTTCTCTTCTGCATTGCGGGCTTCCTGGACGATGTCCTCCATCTCTCCCTGGATCTGGGAAATGTCTGTCTCCAGCTTCTTCTTGGTGTTGATTAGGCTGGTGTTCTGGTTAAAAAATTTAGTAATATTAAGTACACAGACAAAAATAAGATACTTTATGTTCTAATGAAATCAATTTATTAAACTATTTTATTAACCTAATTTATTAAATTAACTAGTATCTGTTCTTGTTTCACCCATGATCTTAGTTGACAATAAAAAATAAATTTCCAAATAACACTAAGATTTGAATAAGAATTTCATCATTACTCTTTTCTTTCTTTCTTTTTCTCCCTGCCCCTCCCGTCCTTTCCCCACCCCTCTTCTCTTCTCCCTCCCCTCCCTCCTTTCCTTTCCTTTCCTTTCCTTTCCTTTCCTTTCCTTTCCTTTCCTTTCCTTTCCTTTCCTTTCCTTTCCTTTCATTTTGTCTTCTTTTCTTCAGTACTGGGGATTGAACCCAGGCCTTACCTATACTAGGCAAGCATGGTTCTAAAGAAATATATCCCTTCTACCAGTCCTTCCTTCATATTTTTATTAATCCATTATGATATATTATTACATAAGTACCTGGGTGTGGAGGAGCTGCACGCGCTCACTGGCATCCAGGAGCTCCTGCTCTGCGATTTTCCTGCTCCTCTCCGTCTGCTCCAGCGTGGCCCGCAGCTCCTCGATCTCAGCCTGCAGCAGGTTGGCTCTGCGCTCAACCATGGCCAGCTGCTCCTTCAGATCCTCCTGGCCCCGCAGAGCATCATCCAGGTGCAGCTGGGTGTCCTGCAGAATGAACACTCAGTGAGACACCTTCTTTTCTGGCCTGCTGTCAAATAAGCATCCTGAAACTTCTCTTGGAGTCACGTACCTTGAGGATGCCTTGGGTGTTCCTATAGTTCCTCAGGGCCTCGGCTGCCATGCGGTTGGCGTGGTTCAGCTGGATTTCCATTTCATTGAGGTCTCCCTCCATCTTCTTCTTGAGCCTGATGGCATCGTTCCTGCTCCTGATCTCAGCATCCAGTGTGCTCTGCATCGACTCCACGACTCTGATGTGGTTTCTCTTCAGCTGGTCAATTTCCTCATCCTTCTCAGCAATTTTCCTGTCGATTTCAGACTTGACCTGATTCAACTCAAGCTGGATGCGCAGGATCTTTCCCTCTTCATGTTCAAGAGATGCCTTAATGATACAAAAGGTGACATTAACAAAGGAATTGAAGTGTGTAGTATTCTGGTAATAGAAATTACTTCTTATATTTGTGCTACCATAACATATTGTTATTCCATTCCTACAGAATGTCTATAATGTATTATTATGGGTTTCATTTACTTCTGTCTCTGCAGCTTGAAGGCAGAAACTTTAACTTGTTTTTCTTTGTTTTCTCTTTTTTTAGCACAGTTCTTAACATATAAAAGTATTGGTTGTATGCATGCTCAATTATTCATCTCAATCTTTAGTAAATGGAATAAACATTTTTTCATTTCTCTTGATTTAATAATCTTTGCAACCAATTAAGCTTAGGACCTCTCTCAATGTTTTAGAGTGTACATTGGCAATGTTTACCTCTGCCTCCTCCAAAGCAGCCTGAAGCTCAGTCTTTTCTTGTTCAACCTGCTTCTTCACTTTTTCCAGTTCATGGATACGTTTCCCTCCTTCTGCAATCTGTTCAGTGAGATCAGAAATCTCCTCTGTTGGTGAAAAAAATACAGACAACTGTTCAGAGGGGGAAACCTTCTTCCAAACCTTCTGTTAAAAGAAGGTAAAATAGACTCACGCTGCAAATTCTTATTTTCCCGCTTCAAGGTCTCAAGTTGGTCTAGGGATTCCTCATAAGCATTTTTAACCTTGAACAGCTCTGTGCTAAGTGAGCGGGACTCCTTTTGAGAAGCTTCGAGTTCAGCATGTGTTTCTTCATATTTCTGTTTCCATTCTGCCAGAATCTAAGGGGCAAGAGATGGTCAAGAAATTCAGTAGAGAAAGTCTGATGGGATGAAAGTTATCTATTCTGGCTACTTTTGGTTTAGGCTGATCTGAGATAGAAAAACAATTAGAGCTAAAAATAAAAAACAAAGGACTATCCCCCCACACCTACCAATGGAACAAGAGCTGCTGAGAACAGCCCTCCGATGGTTTGAATGAGGCCCACTGACAGTAACTAGCTAGGGTTGAATAATCATTTGAATTGAATTGTACGTTGAATATTGAAACAGAAGTTAGACAAAATACCTTATCGAAATTTCTTTGCTTTTTGTCCAGGGCTGCACAGGCAGCGTTGGATCTCTCCACGTCAATCATGAGGTCCTCGACCTCATTCTGCAGCCTCTGCTTTGTCTTCTCCAGGGAGGCGCATTTGGCATTCACAGCTTCTACGTGTTCCTCAGCATCCTGCAGACGCTGAGCCAGCTTCTTCCTGCAAAGTGAAATATGGGTGATAGAAACAAATGGCTGCCAGTAGAATTGGGTGTTTCCAAGTAAGCACAAGTGAGTGATTTCCACAAGGACTTCTTCAGTGCACTGCTTCTCAGCCTTGTTTGTACATTTAGTTCTGTGTTGAATCATTGCCATTTTCTCCTCACCGAACACTTTTAAGTGATGAAACTTCAGTACTGCCGTTATTCATAGGCTGGCTTTAAGGCAACCGATGATAAGGCGGAGCCACCATTTTACCCTTCAATTGCTTATTCTTTCCTTATGAAATATTACTGTCTACCTTGAATTACTGTTGCCTATATCTGTTCCTTCACTTAATTTAATCCCCAGAGGGTAGAGTTTATATTTTACTGGTCTTTGCTTCCATGTGAGAAGGATGTCACACAATATTAAGGACCCAAATGTTGGATATATCAAATTGAAAAATTTATTTTGCCTGTTTAATTATATGCTTATATTTGGCCTTTAACTAAAAGCTTTCCCAAATCAATATAATTTTTGCCTCAAGAGTACATCTCAGAATATCTTCTAAGGCTTCACTAAAACATCAACTGGGTTGTGCATTATTTGCAGAATAAACAACTAGATGTAGTCTTAAGCTTTCTATTGAGTAAGCAGGCCTATTCCTATCCATATTCTTCTTAATACAATTCAATCTAAAACTTTTAAATTACATTGAATATTTAGTTCGTAATAAAGCAATGTTTTTCTTTCTTATTATAGCATTTTCTGTATACTTTGTATGTGTCTTTAAAGATTTCTGTTTTTCCCATACCGTCATACTTGTGTACCTGAAGAGGAGAAGTTTTACTTTAAAGCCTGATTATTTTACTCTTATGCATTCATCATCCAGAACCATTGATTCCATTAGCAGCTGAGAGGAAGGAGAGGTACAGGAAACTACAGTTAATTCTTATTCTATCAGCACCTGTGTAAATGGAAGGAGGCCAAAAACTCACCCCTTTAAAAATAATTATTAAGCTTTCTATTGCCTTATATCCTTTCCTTTCTACCCTCCAGTGTAATTTCTTTCTCTAAACTACCTAATGTATTTGCATTTCTTGTTTGGATTTATGTTCATGCATGTTTTTTCCTATCATTTAGGTTTTCTGGCAGTCAGGACCCTTTTCCCATGCAGTATTTATAGCTGATGTACTTTGTGAATGAAAGTATTTCCGTTGTAATGTCTAGAACATACTTGGCCTCCTCCAGCTCCTCCGTGCGCTGGATGGCGTCCGTCTCATACTTGGTCCTCCACTGGGCAACCTCACTGTTGGCCTTGGACATGGCCCTCTGCAGTTCAGCCTTGGCTTCCTGCTCCTCCTCGTACTGCTCCCGCAGGAGGTCACAGTCATGGCGGGAGGACTGCAGTGCATGGGCCAGGGCACTCTTGGCCTGAAAATTAGAGGTTGGTAATTTAACTTTTTTTTTAATCTTAGGAGTGTTGTCTATTCCCTAAACTGTGATAGACTCAACCAGCAGAGAGATCTGTACGGTTAAGCAAAGTGCAAACAGAAACAACAGTAATGAGAACGAGGAGCAGTGCTCACCTTCACCTCCTCCTCAAGCTGCCGCTTCAGTTCCTCAATCTGCTGTGTGAACGCTTGTTTGCCCCTTGAGAGCTGAGACACTAATGAGTCCTTTTCATCCAGCTGGCGTGAATACTCACCTGTGAAAACCAAGACCCAGAACATTTAACCTAGCTTTGGAAATTAAAGGTTTAAAATAACAGGGCAGGAAAAGGGAGCCAAGTCTGAAATAGGATGGAGACCATGGATTATAACAAACCACCACCATCCACTTTCTCCTCAATGAGAAAATCTATGTAAAAACTGTGAAACACAGAGAAGCACGGAGACTGCACACAAGTACACAACCTCTCAGACTTCAATGAATAGTTAAAATGATCTGATCATAATAGAAAATGATGAAAAATGTGTCTAAGAAGAAATATAAGTCAAACCAACAAAATACCCCCAATACTGTTTAGGTAAGGCAGTGGTGTTATGCTTTTTACTTCCAGAGAAAGTTGGCTAAAACAAAGAATTTATTCTATGGAAAATGGGAAGCTTTGAAAAATTTACTGTAAATAGAAGTGATCCTCAGAAAGAAATCCTGGAAGCATTTTTATATTAAGAAATTTTATATCTGAATGAATCTGTTCTGGATAACTAATGAATTCCTAAACTAAATATCAGGAATTATCTTTAGTTCTTGAAGTACCATAATTCAGAAAATGCACTAGATTATGTTAGAAAAAAAACCTTCAGCACCAGTTTTAACCTAGTTACTTAGAAATGTTATGTGTTTTGACATTTAATAAGAATACCAATTTTCATTTATTATATCACTGGCTTACTAGTAGTAAACATGCATTAGGATGAGAAACTACAAGGAACATTTTGACTCTTTGAAAAATAACTTTCTTTTTCATGAAATGTACTTCCTCCTTTAAAATGATAATAAAAACTTTATTTTGAGTCTTACTATAAAAAGAGCAACATTTGAATGAATGTAAAAGAGTAGAGTGGTTTCCAACATTTTAACCTGCTATTACTTAGCCCAAATGACCCATAGAACAATTTCCATCTTCTTCACTCTTCTTAACTTGGAGGGGTAAAACTTTGGTAGGAAGTTTGAGCAAATCAGTAGGTCAGAGAAGCAAATGCTGAGACTTTCCAATTTGACTAGTGAAAAATATGAAAACCTCACTTGAATTCTACTTGGCTGGGCTGTAGTCCTAAATATTTTCTTACTTAACAGCACCAGTTGCCAGCAGTTGGCACGGCTTCAGGGAAAGAGGGGAGTAAGTATTCTTGGACAGGTGACTTTATTATTGTCATCACCTGTCAGCCTTAAAATGGAACTAATAATACACAGGCTACTGAGGAAAATAAAGCAACAAGTAGCTTGTGAAAACATATCAAAAAGTGAAAAGAGTTACTCTGAGGGGAAACTTTGCATTTGATAACTTTCTGATTAATGCTAAATCTCCTTTAAATACATGTTTAAAACCAAATGAGCCCATTCCAGGTATTCATGAGTGCCTCTCAGGGAGATAATGTACGATTTTAAGTAACTCGATGCTAGGCTTTTCAGCAAATTGAGCATCCAGGAAGAATTTGTCATTGAAGGTAACACCAGTAAATGGCCCACCTGATTCCGTCTGCAGACGCGCCCTCTGTGCTGTCAGCTCGTTGATCATCCGCTGCTGCTCCTCCTCCTTGGTCTTTAGTTCACTCAGTTGATCTTCCAGTGTCCGGCACATCTTCTCAAGGTTTCCCTACACGCAAAAAGTGGCAGGAGGCATCTCAAGCAGGTATTAGTGCCAAAGCAACTGTCATTCATGCAGACATTTCGTAGCTGCTGAACTCATTTATTTTGAAAATAAACTATTTTCCAAACAAACAGAAATAAGGACAGGGCCCTTAGCTTGTGATGAAACTAATAAGACACACACTGTAAAACACTGCCACCAAATTGCTTTGTGAATTGATCATCCTTACTAAATCGTGTTAGCTGTGACATGAGAATCATACCTGATTGGGCTCATGAGATGTTTGTTAGAAGCAAATTATATTTGTGTTTAAGGGGAAAATAAAATGTCCATAATCGATGTGAAATGTTTAAAATGTCACAAATAGACAGCTGGGTTGTATTTTTCATCTGTAAGCCCTTAAGCTGTCACGCTCCATATTATTTGGGTATGGCTATTCTCAAAGAGCAAGCAAACTGGGGCTACTCCTCATCCCTGTGTTCCCAACTTGTACTGTCTCAGTCCCTCCTAGTTACTGATGATTTTTGAAAGGTTCACTGCTATTCCGCAGAAATATCTTTGTGATTTACGTCATGGCTGTACCTTGGCTTTGGAGACAGTCTCCATGTTACTAGCAAGGTCATCAATCTCCATCTTCATCTCACTCTTCTCCTTCTCCAGCTTCTGCTTGACCCGCTGCAGGTTGTCAAGCTGCTCCCCGAGCTCGGCCACACTGTCCGC